ACATTTAGGTGTCGTTTGGTAACACTTTTACGTTTTCAGTTTTCTGTTTATATTTACAAAAATTTAAAAACTCAAATAAAAACTTGTTTGGTAAAATTTTTGATTTATAAATCAGTGGTTTCAGTTATAAATTTGGCCAAAAAATGAAAACACAAAAAATGTGTTTCCGTTTTGAGTTTTGAGTTTTGAGTTTTTTTTTTTTTACCACCCAACACTAGTCACCACCTGCCACCATTTTCCACCGCCGTCTTCCCACCACCACCCACCACCCACCCCCACCACCGCCACCAACACTACTCACCACCTATCTGCCACTACCACCCACCACCCACCTGCCACCCACTCGCCATCACCACACCCCTCGCCACCACCACTACTACCACCCACCACCCACCTGCTATCCACCCGCCACCACTCACCACCCGCCACCTACTCACCACCACACTCACCAGCCACCTGCCTCACCATCCACCATCTGTCACCACCCACCCCACCACCCCAACCTACACCACCACCACCACCACGCAGCAGCTATCTGCCACCCTACCCGCCACTTCACAGCCTACCACACCAGTACCAGCACCACCACCACCATTCACCCACCACCACCCGCCACCCCACCTCCACCACCACCCACCACCCATTTTCCTCTACTACCACCAGCACCACCACCACACCCACTCGCTACCACTACCCCTACCATCGTCAACCCACCCACCCCACCACCACCCACACCGCCACCTACCCCCCACCAACCACCACCACCTGTACCTACTCGCCACTACCACCACCACCGCCACTGCCACCACCGCCACCACCACCACCCACTCGCTACCACCACCACCCACTGCCGTCACCACCCACCACCATACCACCCAACCCCACCACCCTTTCGCCACCACCTGCCACTGTACCCACCACCCGCCCATGCCACCGCCACCACTACCACCCCACTCGCTTACCACCCACCACTCGCCACTGTCACCCCACCCACCCACCACCACCACGCCACCTATCCGCCACCACCACCACCCGCCATCACCACCATGCCCACCCACCATCACCACCCGCCCCCATTGCAACTACCACCCACTACCACTCCTACCACCCACCACCGCCACCGTCAGCCACCCACCCACTCCACCACCACCGTCACCACTTTCCACCACCATCTTCTTGCCGCCACTTGTCATTTTTCACTCTTTTTTATATTTTTAATTTTTTTTAAACATTTTGTCAATTACCAAACGCGTTTGTAGTTTATGTTTTTCTAAAAATAAACAAAAAATAAACAAAAACCAGTTTATAAAATTTTTATAAATATAAACTGAAAACGTAAACGTTACCAAACACACCCTTGACTCTTTGGCTGCTTCTAATTAAAAGGAAAGTAGAAGGCTAGGGTTCATCAAAAGGCAGATAGAGAGAAAGAGAGACAGAGGGAGAAGGAGATGGCACTAAAACAAAACAGAGTTTTTACGGCTCCACATTAACGACATACAGTAAATGCAAGCTGTGGTTTCTCACTTTTACGACTTACTTTTTTTGCATGTCGTAAATAATTTCTCAACTGCGGCGTGTCTATTGAGTAGGTCGTAAATGCTAATAATGATGATTTTTTTACAGCTTGCGATGTTAGCCGTAAATAATAAAACTTTCTATGACGTGCATATTGCATGCCGTTAATACATCAACTATACACGACACACATACACTAGCTGTTAAAAATATTGAATATTTCACAGCGCACAAAAAGTCAACCATTAAAAATATTGCACTTTTTACGACGCACAAAAAATCAGCCGTTAGAAAGTACACTTTCCATGACGCACATATGCTAACTGTTAAAAATATTTTATTTTTCATGAAATGCAATTTATGTCTAAATAATATGACCAAAATAAATCAATAATGACTTGGACGCTATTTTTTTCCCACCCCCTTGACCTTCTCTTCACCTAATTGGTCATTTTTTTTTTCCTTCTCCTCCAATCACCACCCGCCACGTGTGTGTAGGGTGGTGATTGGAGGGGTCTCAATAATCACCCAAAATAAATATAGGCGCCGAAATAAAATACTTTGGCGCCAAATGGTAAAATGAAACAATTTTCGAATGAAACACTCTTCGAATTGGCCGTAGCTCTCTTTCTAAACACTTGTATGTCACACACACTCTCTCTCTCTCCAAACCGTCTCAGCCTCGCAGATCATTGTCTCAGTCTCACAGATTTTCATCTCAACCTGAGCCTTCATGGAAACCCTAACCTTGAGCTCCTCTACCACTCTCCAAAGCCTCATCACTGTGTCTCACTACCCTAACCTCATTGGCGATGCCTGAATAAGAAAGAGTAGGGTGAGACGGTGGTGTTCGTCTGCCTTGGAAGCGTAGGGTGCTTCGATCCACCTCGACTGGCGGAGATCGTGGCAACGCTGGAGAAGAGCGGCCACCAATTCTTGGGTTCCATGGAGCCTTCACCGATGACGATTCCGTCTCCATCCTCTCTCGTCTCCCCTCCGTCGCTTCTCTCAACCTAATTTTTGATTCCTGATCTCTCTCTCTCTCTCTCTCCCTCTCTCTCTCTCTCAACTCATCTGAATGTATAGAGACTGGCTAGGTTACTTCATAGACTAATAGTTCTCTTTCCAATTCTAGGGTTTTATATTTCTGTAAAAATCTGAGAAATTTGAGATTGATTATAGTTTCTGACGGATAATACTGATTTCACGGTGATTGGGGTGATCGGACTGCCTAGGGTAGGGAAGTCGACGATAATGAATGAGCTCTATGGCTTTGATGGAACTTCACTTGGTAACATATACATATATGCTCTTACTCTTCTATTTATGTATATGATTTTCTGTTTAGTTCATAAGAAAGAATGATATAAAATAATACTAGAAATATGAAGGTGGTTTTGATAGAAAGCTTCTTCAAAAGAACAAATCTGTTGTGTTTTTCCCAAAAGGAACTGTAAATTTTGCATTTTTTTTGATTTTTTTCTGATTAAAACATTGAAAAGTTTGATGGGTTTGTTCTAATTTGCTACCCTTTTTTTTCTGATTAAAACACTGAAAAGTTTGTTGGGTTTGTTCTAATTTGCTATGGAGATCAGAAGGATTTTTGACTTATTTATTTATTTATTTATATCTTAGATGTATTATTTATTTATTTATTTGTGTAAACTGTTACTTTATTTTTGACTTATAATTAGTTGATTTAAATCTTATTGACATAAATGAACTACAGGTTCATTATCCTTTACAGGATATTCAGAGTGTCCCATTTTCTAAATGCAAAGTACAGCTTCTTGAAGCAGAGGTCAACAGTTTAAACAATCTTAACTTATTCTCTGTATTTTTCTTTTGTAATTTTTTCAATAATATATGCCCTTTTGAGGATTATTTTGATTTCTATAGTAAAGTGAAGCAAGTTTTGTATATGAGTATGTTAATGCATCAGCATATTATGTGTAAATATCTGTTTGTACATATGAATATTTGCTTCATTAACAAACTTGATTGTTTTTGCGGAAGGCTAAACTGAGGTGTCTTTTACCTAGAAGCTTGCTGGATCATGGTTTTTTTTCCACCATCCTCACCACAGAAAGAAAGCAATGATAAATGCACCATTGATCGCTTTTGCAACTATAGTTGGTGTGGGCAGCGCAAGATGCTTTCTTACGTAAAAAAGCTTGTTTTCCCTGAAGATTTCTTAACTACCTTGAGGACAATAGCCAAGCAGGAAGATGAAATTTATCAAGTTTCATCATTGCTGCAAGAGGTGTGTGTGGCTTCTTAAGCAGTATCTATTCTTATCTATGGTTGGATGTTTATGTTGCCTTTTGCCTTTTGCCTTTTGTATTCAGTTGTGTTTCTGTAATTTCTTGTATTCAGTTGGTTGGATGTGAACATTTCTTTGATAAAGGGGTTCTTATTAGTTACTTTTATAATTCATTTGCTTTAGTTATTTAATTTCTTTGTTGTTGAATCCTAATCAAATTTTTTGTTTTTTCTTTGAAGCTTGTTAGTTTTGATGGAGAGAAGCAACCATCTGATGGAGAAGTTCGAGCTGTAACATGGGAGGCCTGCGGGGATTCTGGTGCCCTACAATTGCTCGTTGATCTTCCTAATATGAAGTAACCTCTGAAAACTAGTTCACTGATATCATTTTACTTAATTTGTCATCAGTATTTCAAAATTTTAAAGTTTTTTGTTCCAATTTCTCTCTTGTTGGAAGCAAACAGGTTTAGAACTTTGAAAAATCTAGAAATCCCCTAGATGTTGATTTGTGATTATGTATCAATTTTAAGCAGAATAAAACAATCCCAATCAAACAATCAAGACAAAGAGACACAACGATTTTAACGTGGAAAAAGCCACAATTGGACACGTCCAACTGTGATTAAAAAACCACGGGCAACAGCCACAAAACAATCCACTAAGAAGATTTAAAGGAATTACACAGGTATACTCTCAATTACTTAGCGAATCCATGCCTAATTGAACCAACCTCTATGTGCCTCTTCCAACCCGTCTTCACCTCGGAATTGTCTTTACGATGAGCCACCCCGGAATCCACCAAAGCTTCAGGCTCGAATTCTTCAGAATTCACCGAAGAACAACTCTCTCTTTTGTATAGCAAACAAAACCTTTGATATACTCTCTTTAAACCATGAGTTGAATACTCAATAAAACATCAAAGAAAAAACTCACAAAGTATCCCCAGATATAAACCCTAGAACCCAAAAAGAAGATCTGGAGTAGTAATCCCAAAATCTGACCCAACACGTAAATTTATAGAATCTGTCCCGCGATCTTCGCTCGAGCGCCCAACAGCCCGCTCGAGCGTCTTCAGCAAAATATGCGCGTGATATAACAGAGGTCCGCTCGAGCGCTAGAGAACCCGCTCGAGCGCGAAATCACACATCTCAGTACTTTTGTAGGCGACCAAAACTGCTGGAACCAGGGATTCTCCGCTCGTGCGCGGGGATATTATGACTGAAAAATAGGCAGTAGCTGGAATTGAATTTTCCCTGCAGGTTGCAGCTGGAGCCTCAATTACCTAATTAGGTGGAATTATGTGACATCAAGGCATCAATAAAGCAATGTAAATGGGTGAAAGTCAAAGATAAATGATACTGCAAGTCATGATGCCCCATCTAGAGGAGGAATGTCCAATTATAAACTGGTCAAGAATTGATCCTAAGCAGAGAGCTACATGTGTTCAAAACCTAGCATGTTAGAGTTTGGAAATTATATAGTGATTTACATTGTTGTGTAGAGTTAATTTAGCAATAGGTTAAGTTCAAAGTATAAACCATTGGAGCCCAGAAATTGTGAACCAGCTCTTAGACAGTGATGGAGGCACACAGATTTCTATATGTAGTTGAAATGACTGAATCAGTGTCCACATTATGAGTCAGAAGAAACACATTCTTTTCATTGCTCTGGTTGATCTATTAGCTAATTATTTGATTGTTGTTTGGATTTGCCTTGACACAGTAACTTGCATCCAGTTTAATCCTGTTGATGATAGATACTTCATCAGTGGATCCTTAGATGCTAAGGTTCACATATGGAGCATTCCTGATCGTCAAGTTGTCGATTGGAATGATTTGCATGAGATGGTCACTGCTGCTTGCTATACACCAGATGGTCAGGTTGGCCATATCTAGACAGTGCCTCTGATTCACTTTTGCTCCATCTTACTGTCCGTATGCCTTGTTTCAGGTTAGGGCTTCTGCTACTTTTGCATTAAGCAACCTACTTGAAAGTGGATCTGACTCATGTGAAGATTAGAGTGAAATTAGTGAAGAAATTCAGGACAACAAGAAGATGAAGGATGAAATTAGTATAGTTCAGAGGCTACACATGATGTATTAGCTAAATTAGTCAATTAAAGAACTTTCATATTCTCCTTCAGTGTAATGAGATTGTGTTAACGTATATAATAAATAGCTTGTAAGAAATTACTCGGACTTCTTTGGCCACCTCATGCCGACCACAATTGATATGATAAAAATCACTGTTATCAATGCTCAATTGTTTAGGTTTTAAACTTTCACGATGGTATCCAATTCCTTTGCACTGGAATCAGAGTCTAATCCTTGCAATTTGGTAGCATGAACTTCCTAGCGAACCTGAGGATTGCTGATCCAATGTTTGTTCAACATGTGCAGACTCCAGAAGGTTCACTGTTGGATATTATACGCAATGCCTATGATCTTCTTTCTCACTGTGATATAAAATTCCTAAGGTACATCCTCTTACATCTGCAACTTTAATATTGAACATTCGTCCCAGGATTTGTGATGAATGCTGTTGCTAATTTTCTCCACCACAAGATTCTATCTAAGATAATTTTTTCTTATGCTTGTCAGGCTTATATTTTCTGGTACATGTAGATATATATTTTTTGAAACTTTGTTCAGTTATTCTCTTTTGTTTATTGTGTTACACAGATTGAAGGTAATGACAAATATGTTGATTCTGGACCCCCATATCTCATCTTCTTTCATCCTGCTTTGGGCCCACTGTAGGAAGTCACCAGACAAAAAGTACACTCAATTTTCAGACTTTGTTTTTTATATTTAAGCTTGTATTGCATGGGAATTGCCCTAAAATTTTGGTTAATATGTACAAAACTCTTAATTTTGTTAAAATCATGAAAACGTTATAATTTTTTTCTGTATATTTGGAACATTAGAGAAACTGGGTCTTACCAATTAGAGCTGGGAAGTTATCAATATTTGATTTTCAAAAAGAGTTTTCAAACTGTTATTTCTTGTGACTTGAGGAGAAGAGTGGAAGAAGAGAGACTTAAAACGAATAGGTTCATGGTCATCTAACTAACTTTTACCTTTACCTCATATTTATGTTAAAACAAATAAAGGACATAAATGACAAGAATACCCTCATCCGTAAAACAAAACATAACACAGCATATCAACTAAGACTAATAAGCTAACATGGTTCATTGGACTCAGCAGTTTCCTGTAGCAATCAAGCAGCTGTTTTAAATTATACCCTGTTGATTGCATTAGAAGTGTAATTTTTTTTATTTTTATATTAGATCTATTTAGTTCAATTGATAACAATGATTAAGAAATTTGGATAGAAATTGAAAGGAAAATAGTTCATTCGAAATGAAAAAGAATATTTTAAATTAGATGTCAACTTTTTAATCATTTTGTGAAGAATGAGTTGATTATTCTGCATGAACCAATGTTTGTATTACCTTTGTTGTTGCATTGTCTGAGTTGGGTTCCTTATCATAAATGTTATATATTGTAGAATAAGGTTCAAGAGCTTCACAAGCCTTCTACAGAATAAGGGTCAACGTCTATCAAAGATGATGCAATTGTTCATGCATTTAGTCTAGAACGGCATGGTAGGGTAAGAGGGCTTGGATTTGGAGCATTGCCATCAAAAGTTGATGCACAAGCATACTAAAGTTATAAACCATCTATGGATAGTTTTTGAGGACTTTGATGAATAGCTTGCTATAATTTTTGAATAGTTTTGGGTAATATTTACAAACTTATATATGTACAGTTTTGGATGGTTTATAGCTTTTTGGATGATTTAGAACTTAGGATAGTCCTTTTGGATGTTTGGAATGTATACATTGACAATTTTTGAATGTTTATAATTTATAGATATAGTTTATTTTTCATGGTTGAAATAATATTTTGGTGGTTGATTAATATTTTGTGATGCTTGTTTGTAATATTAGATTGTACAAAACAGGTCAAATATAGACTGTGCTGAATTAAAAAAAAAAATGTACATTCTACGGCAAGCAAATTAGGTCATTATATGAAATATTCCACAGCATTCCATGTATGTTGTTGTATGTTCTACTTATCTACGGCAGCCAGAGCAAGTCGTTGTATATTAGTTTTTTGAAAACGTAAGTTGCATATTAGTTTTTTTTTTCCCCCTTTTCATTTTGGTATATTTATTGGATTTGCTTGTCTGTCCCTCTTCTTGGTCTGTGTGGATTCTTTTCTTTTGGGTATATACCCCATCCTATGAGGCAACCATTTATAGGTGTCAATATTGTGCTGAACTCACACCATCATCAGTCAGATGGAAATACCTAACCATACATATGAACATGTAGATTTGGTTTATATTTGAGCATAAGGTTTTATTAACAGCTTGATACTTTTATTTCCTTAGCTGCATAAGGTTTTATTAACCACACAACTCTCTTCTGGCTATTAATTTGTCTGCATGCTCATGTCTGATGATGAGTTAACTACTGAAATCTTTTAACACATGAGTTTTCCTATATTCAAGGGCACGGATAAAATGTTTGCATAATCCTGTTCCTTCTCCTGAGCATTGTTGCCCTCATAGTTCATACTTAGCTATCTTAAGATATTTGGTCTATTTTTTTCATGAGAATTGATTATTCAATCAAAGTGGTTATTCTTTTTCTATTGAAGCATTGTTGCCCTTATTCTTTTTCTATTCGTGCTTCTTGGGCTACTCACTGTGGGGCTATAACGTAATATGTGATGGTATATTACGTTTGATGGTGAACTAATTATTTGTGTTGAGTATTTCTAATACCGTTGAATTACAGTTCCAGGTCTGAGATGTACGCCTTATAATGGACCGCAATTCAAGTCATTCCAAGAGAGTTGGGTAAGTTCAATTTTTCCTTCCATAGCCAAAAAATTATCTCAATTTAATTTTTTATTATGCTATAACTATTTTAATTCTATCATTAGTGGAGGTTTGTCATCTCGTAATGAGGTCAAAGATAGAAGTCTACACTTCTTTTAACAACTAAGGCTGTTATCAACAAGTGAAGATGACAGAGCAAAAGGCACACTAATCATATTGAAAAAGTCTACATGCTAAATTGACAAGTAATTATGGGCTAACAAAATTGCAGTAAGGCCAAGTCCAATGCTTTGTAAGATAGATGATGACCCCCTGCCCTTCTCTTTCACCCTCCTCCCCCACACAATGTAAACTCGCCAAGTTGTTTTTTTTGGTTTTGGGGATGGGCTTCATGAAATTGCATTGGTTAAAATTTGGTTTCGGTAATGGAGAAATGTTTTAAACATTGCGTAGCTATTAATGGATTTGTATTATTCTAGTGATTTTAAAATATTAAGGGTGAATATTGTGGAAAAAAACTGAAGGACATTTTTTTTTTTTGGTGAAGGATGGTATTTGCTTTGATGTCTCATATTTCATTTATTAGTGGAAGTTGTTTACTTTCCCTAGTGCTTCCACGCATTAATAGATATTTGATCAATAACAATTAGAGAGTGTTTGATTGTACGATTCGAGTTCAAATGGCATGACATTCCATTCATATTGACCAAAGGGTGTGTTAAATGCAGTTTTATATCTATCTTTAGGATGAATTTGTATTTGCCAAAAATCACTTTTTAAATCGAACTTACTAAAAATAACAGCTTGACTGAGTCGTTTAATTAAATCTTTTTTATTAGGAATAGGATACCGAATCCATTCTAAAACAGAATTTAATGGTTTGTAATTAATAACAAGTCGAGGGACACCTCGTTCTAATTCAGCATTTTTATTAACATAGAAAGCAGGACAGGACCAAGGTGATTTACTTGGGCTAATTATGCGATTTCTTAATAATTCATTAATTTCTTTTTTTACACATTTCAAGTAATTCATGGTTCATTTGAATAGGTCGAGATTTAGTAGGAATTTGTAATTCATGAAAATTCTTAATATAAGGTAGGGTAACAACATGTTTTTTCCTATGCCAGAAAGCAGTAGGTAAAGTAGAACAAACAGTTGATTCAAGTTTTAATTTGAAATCACTGATTTGGGAAACAAGAACTGGATTAGCTAATTGTTGGTCAATGCGTTTATGGTTTATTTCTTCTTTAAGAAATTTTAAATGTCGAGTCAGGCGGTTAATTTGATGAGAAATAGAACAATCTTGTAATTGGTTTAAGTGTAATAATTCAGGAGGAGATAAGAATTTGAATGTAACAGGTTGTCCTAAAACATGTGTAGTTATTCCTGTACTAGATGTAGTAAAAGGATATAATAAATAGATAAATGGAGATCCTAAAATAATTTTATCAGTCATATTAGTAACTAGGACAAAAGAGGTTTTAAAACATACATTATCTTGGCAAACATGTACTTTTGGTAATTTGTATTTGATATGCATTTGAGTACCATTAGCAGAAGTTAATTTTTCTTTGCATTTTTCATAATATGTAGTAGGAAGTAATCATTCTTGAATACAGTTTAAATCAACACCAGTATCAATTAAAGCAATTAATTCTAATTCAAAATTATGAACAATTATTTTGATTTTAGAATACCATTTTTTAATATAAAGCTTGTTGATTAAACTTAATCGTTTGTCTTCAGGATTATTGGATTGAGAGTGGTGTGATCTGTTTTCAAATATCAAATTATCAGGATTAGTAGGATCAGACTCATGTTCAGATTCATGTGGAGATTCATGCTCATTAGTTTGGAAATTATCTAAACTTTTATCAATTTTTAAAGTAATAATTTCATCTTCGAGTTTTTTATCTTTATGTTGTAGTTCTTTGATTGTTTGTTTAATTTGATTGATCTCTTGTTGCAAATCTTGTAAAGTAACTTCTTTTTGTTTATTTTTAAATCTTTCCAGAGTTTTAGATAGGCTGATTATTGGTTTATCAAACTTTGGTTTGGAATCTGAATGGATTAATAAGGATTTTAATTTATCTGTATATTTTTGTTTTAATTTTGGATCATCTAATTTACTAATTAAGTCGATTAGAGCAGATTCTTCCTGAGTACTTTTAGTGAGAACAGTAATTTGGTTAACTGGTTTACAACAAACATCATTACAACCTAGATTAATATTATTATCAGAATCACTACTAGGTGAATGGTAATCGGATGAAGTATCAGATGGATTAGAAGAGGAAGAATTACTATCAGCGTGATTTAATTGGAAAATTTCATATAATTGATTTTTGGAGTTATCATCAATTTGGAGTTGATTGACTCTATCTTTTAATTTTTGTTTTTCTTTACATTTATTAGAGTAATGACCTTTTTGACCACAAATGGATTGTCACCGCATTCAGATATAACAGCGAGCATATGGGAACATGGATAGTGTCTTATCTCGTATTTGCCACAACTGCACGTGGGTTGATTCATGCGCACAATCTATGTATTGTGACCTCGTCCATAGCGAAAAGATGTTTACACCTCAAAGACGCGGCATGGCCTATCAGACATTATTGATACAAACTAATTGTCATGTTTGTAGGTGTAATTAACTTCACAACATAATAAGTACAATTTAGTTTACATTACAACCTAACCTATCGTACGATATCAACTGGAAAGTATTTCCCCCTGTGATGCCCTCCTCGATAGTTTTTTGCATCTCTCTAGGGTATTGGAACTCATTCCGTGCATCTATTTCTGCTTGGGCTCCCATCTCGTCAAAATATTTTACGAGTCGTCGAAATGTAAACTTAACCATAGCTGAGATAGGTAGGTTCCTTGCACCTTTCAAGACACTGTTGAAGCACTCTGCGTCATTGCTAGTCAATACCCCCCACTGATATCCACCGTCATACGCAAGGGCCCACTCCATAGGATTCATCTTGCGGACCCAATCGATGGTATCTTGGTTAATGGCCTGTATCTGTTCTAAGTAGGCATTACACTTTCGTCTTTGATGAGCACTCCCTACTTTCCATAGAAGCTGTTTCAGCTCCTTATTCTTAAACTTTGTGTTGAAGTTACTACAAACATGTCGAAGGTAGTGCCGATGATATCCAACAAATTAGAGTGAGGGATTTAGCATTCATAGCAGCTAAAATACTCTCAGCTCGATCAGATGTCAAAGTCACTCTCTGTTGGTCCATGACAATATGTTCCCTGATATTTGAAATGAAGAACGACTAAGACTCCAAACTCTCCTTGTCGACAACAGCGAATGCAAGCGGTAATACTTTGCCATTGGTAGTGACGATCGTTGCTACAAGCAACACACGGTTTGAAAGACCAGAAAACAAAGTGGAAGACGGGCATGATGGTTGTACCTCTGGTATATCTATGCTTCCATTTAACGATGGTGGTAGGATTAGATGTTTGTAATGCATGCATGAATTTAGGAAACTGCCTATACGATTCATCCTAATCCTCGAATACCATTCTAATTGCCTTTGACCTTGCATGCCATGCCTTCTTGAATGATATACTGTAGTTCATGGTCTTTTTGATATCTTCTATAACATTCTTAATTGGCATATGAGGTTCATTCTGCATACGACAATCAAATATAAGTTGGATTATTTGGGTGTGAACGCTATAAACAAACATCTATATATATATATATATTTTATACTCACCGCAACTTGTCCCAAAAGATGAGAAACAATGTAACTGGAGTCAATATTAATGTGGTCCCTGTTCATTCTTGGGTATAAACAATGGTGCAGACCCCTATACTGTTTTATTTCAAAAAGACCATGTTTCTTATTAAGAGATGCACGCAACCACCAACTGCAATCGTGCTTGCAAGCAGACACCCAAGGGTCTCGCTTGGAGGTTACAACCTTATACTCTCGATTATTTCTTGCGTGGTACAATTTCACAGCATGTAAAAGTTGCTTCTTATTAATGAAACCATCCTTTTGTCCGACTCTTCATTTTTAGCGTTCCAGATCCAGTTACGGAGAACGACATCACGGCTACTCATGTCAAAATCACCACCCATGTGAATGTTCTCATAGAAAAGAATTTCAGGTCTAGGTGGGACGCAGACATTTTCAGGGTCAACGGGGCCGTTGGCGTCATCTTTTTCATCATCATCATCTGATCCGGCCAATAAATTTTCTTCATCAAACATTTCATTTTCATCATCGTCTAGGGCGACATCAGGATCATACATGTTATTGTCAGCAATAGTGTCAACAAACTGCACATAGTTCACCGTTTCCGCCATACTCCCATTACCTTCAACTGGAGTGGTATGATGGTTGCAGGTGGACACATCTTTTGTACTATTGTGAAATTCATAATCATATCCACCACACGAACTTAACATTTCCTTAGCCATTTTGTGACCAAGAAACGTAGGAGAGTGAGAGAAGTGAAAACTTAGCTTCATCAAGAGTTTTGCCTTAGCGACTTAAGGTAGGAGACTCATCCTCTCACTTATGCATTTGAGTTGTTCTAGCATGGTCCATGTGAAGGGACGAGAATCCATCTGTCTCATATTCGGGACATTGCGTACAACCTCTTTATCAATGTATACTTCCAAACAATTTGGTGGTTGGAAACTTACACCGATACTTAATACGGTGTTCAACGTCTCATCGTCATTGATCGGTAATGTCTTGTATCTGTTGATTGCTTGCCACTGGCGATAAGGATATCTACATTTGAAGTTCAATCGGACACTTTCACCGTAACTTTCCACCTTGGACATGAACATCTCCTCCAAATTGTTAAGTGTGGCACCAAGTTGCACCCCATATATCCCTTTCGACTCAGCATCATATGACGCACCTTCATCGAGATCCCGAATTATGTTTCCTCCCCTGTAGAAGATAATTGGAACACTCTCCATACACTCGCTTCAATGAAACAAAAAACTTAAAATATCAACAATATACTTATATTGGATTTTACATCGAAAAGAATTACATAGATTTTAACTCATTCAATTACAATTACTTGTGAGTCAAGAACTTTATTTAAATAATCATTAATTGTAATCTAACAATAATACAAGTAAACCTAAATAATTAATAAAAGAGTAATTTATTAAGTAATCATTGTTGATGTCCTAAACAATTAATTAATGAGTTAATACAATTAATATTGTTAATTAATGAGTAATTTTTTAATTAACTCATTAAATAATATTGTTAATTAACTTATTAAATAATATTGTTCTTTTAATGATGTCCTAAATAATATTGTTAACTCATTAAATGAGTTAAAAATTAATGAGTTAATATTGTTAATTAACTCATTAAATAATATTAACAATATTAACTCATTGTTCTTATACGTTAATTAACAATATTAATAATATTAACAATAATATTAATGAGTTAATATTATTTCATACATATGCTGCATACATATGAAAGATTTCAAATAATTGATTTTTGGAATTATCATCAATTTGAAGTTGATTTACTTTAGCTTTTAATTTTTGTTTTTCTTTACATTTATTAGAGTAATGACCTTTTTGACCACAGTTATAACAAGTAACATCTTTAGTAGATTTAGATTTTGGATGTGATTTAGTTTTATAAATCTCT